AAACCTGCAGGTTTCTGAAGTTTGTGGATCCAAGAAAATCGCACAGGAAATATTTAAATGCAAGTACTGTAAATTCAAAAGGTTCTTTTTTAACTGCAAATGATTCAAATTTCACTTTCCATTTAAAATCTAAAAGTTACAAATCACTTTACAGAATTGTATGTCTGCACCAAATCATGCTAATACTGTAAAGGAAACTGGATTCTGTGAAATGGTTATGAGCAAATAATATCTTACCTGTTGCAGGTGACTCTTTGAACAGCCTGAGTTTGAGAAAGTAGTGTTTAAATTTTAATTGATTGATAAGCTGACGTGTTCAACTCCAAACTCTAAACTTTCAGCAATCTAAAAACTCCCACACCATTTATTATCATTAACATTAAAGGCAGCCAATCATGTAATTGCTATGTCTGTGTGTTTGTTTGTTAGCTTGTAAAATATCTCTTCAACCACTAGATGGATTTTAATGAACCTCTCAGAAAACAATATTTTTGGAATCAGCACAACTGAGTGGCTGCCACACTGTACACTGTAGCAAACAGCAACATGACTGTAACACAATTTTACAAACATTGAGCCAAGATTTGATGTTGTAGTAGCTGAGACTGATCCTTAACACACATACGTTCTTTATTTAAAGATGTGGCATGCAGTGAACAAGGAAAAATGTATTTCTATGAGGAATGCTAGTTTTATTTCAATACAATGCTATGGCTGTTTGGAATTTTAAATAGCAGGGAAAGTCACTAGCTGTAATACTTCTGGATCAATCTGGGCCACGTCCAACAAGTATAACATAAGATTTCTGCTAAAATACCTGTGATGCAGAACTGATAGGGTTTTTAAAAATTACATCAGATTGACCACTAGAAAATATTTGAAGTATTTTAAGATGCCAGCAGTCCAGCTTGGTCTTGGCTGCACTTGGTCTAGCCCTGAGCTCATCACTCTGGTCAAAATTAAAACTTAAAGACCGTGTAAAGTAAAAACAAGTGTGTGCTTTGAGGTTGTCACACCACAGAAACATGTGTTAAAAATCACCCAGCCAAGATTGAACAATTAAAAATACTGTTAACCATATACAATTACAGCGGGTAAAATAAGTATTGAACACATCAACATTTTTCTCAGTAAATATATTACTAGAGGTGCTAATGACATGAAATTTTCACCAGATGTCGGTAACAACCCAAGTGATCCATATATACAAAGAAATCAAACCATAAATGTCCAGAAATGAAGTTATTTGTAATAATGTGGAATGGCACAGGGAAAAAGTATTGAACACACTTACTGAAATTTATCTAATACTTTGTACAAAAGCCTTTGTTGTCAATGACAGCTTCAAGACGCCTCCTGTATGGAGAAACTAGTGGCATGCATTGCTCAGGTGTGATTTTGGCCCATTCTTCCACACAAACAGTCTTCAAATCTTGAAGGTTTCGTGGACCTCTTCTATGAACTCTGATCTTTAGTTCTTTCCATAGATTTTCTGTTGGATTCAGGTCAGGTGATTGGCTGGGCCATTCCAGCAGCTTTAGTTTCTTTCTCTGAAACCAACTGAGAGTTTCCTTGGCTTTGTGTTTGGGCTCATTGTCTTGCTGAAATGTCCAGCCACATTTCATCTTCATCATCCTGGTAGATGGAAGCAGATTTTTATCAAGAATGTCTCTGTACATTTTTCCACTCATCCTTCCTTCAATTATTTGAAGTTTGCCAGTACCATATGCTGAAAAACAGCCCCACACCATGATGTTCCCACCTCCAAACTTCACTGTTGGTATGGTGTTTTTGGGCTGATGTGCAGTGCCATTTGACCTCCAAACATGATGTGTATTCTGGCATCCAAACAGTTCAATGTTGGTCTCATCTGACCAGACTATATTCTCCCAGTATTACACAGGCTTGTTTAAATGTTGTGCAGCAAACTTTAAAGGAGCTTCAACATGCTGTTTCTTCAGCAGTGGAGTCTTGCGTGGTGAGCGTGCATACAGGCCATGGTGGTTCAGTGCATTACTTATTGTTTTCTTTGAAACAATCGTACCTGCTAATTCCAGGTCTTTCTGAAGCTCTCCACAAGTGGTCCTTGGCTCTTGGACAACTCTTCTGATAATTCTTTTCACTCCTCTGTCAGAAATCTTGTGAGGAGCACCTGGTCGTGGTCGGTTTATGGTGAAATAATGTTCTTTCCACTTCTGAATTATGGCCCAAACAGTGCTCACTGGAACCTTCAGAAGTTTAGACATTCTTCTGTAACCGATGCCATCATTATGCTTTGCAACAATAAGGTTGTGAAGGTCTTGAGAGAGCTCTTTACTTTTACCCATCATCAGATGGTTCTTGTGTGATACCTGGCCATCATTTGGGACTGAACCAGCTGATATTAACTTGCACTGACAAGGGGCAGGCTTGCTTTCTAATTACTGAGAGAGTTCAGCTGGTGTCTTGGCTTTCCATGCCTTTTTACACCTCCCTTTCTTCATGTGTTCAATACTTTTTCCCTGTGCCATTCCACATTATTACAAATAACTTCATTTCTAGACATTTATGGTTTGATTTCTTTGTATGTATGGATCACTTGGGTTGTTACCGACATCTGGTGAAAATTTCATGTCATTAGCACCTCTAGTAATATATTTACTGAGAAAAATGGTGACATCTTCAATACTTATTTTACCCGCTGTATGTGTTAAAAATAATGAAAAAATATCAGTTAGCTGTGGTCTGGAATGCTGGGGGCGTGTCCGCTGGAGAAGCTCAAACCACGACCACGAGCCTGAACATTCATGTAACCGAGGAAACAATGTTTGTTTTCTTTTCCATTAGAGCAACAGGGGGTGGGGTTATATTGAAGGCTGCTGCGTGACATCACGAAGCTGCCCTTTAAGACACGCCCAAAAAATCCTGAAACACAGGTACCTTGTTACACAAATTGTCATATCTCCACTATTCAAATATCTACATTTGAGAGAATTTGTACTCATTCACAACAATCCATTTATGACATTTATAATGTTTGAAAAAGAAAATGTTACATTTTACTTTACATGGTCTAATGGTTTAATTTCAATCAGCTGAAAGTGTTCAAAATCGTTTCTACAACCGGTAAGATATTATTTGTTCATATGCTTTCTGAAGAGCCCCACCAAAAATCATTTGAAATAACTCTTAAATCTGAGTGCAATAACTTGAACTGGATTCTACTTGAATTTAAATTGGACTGAATAAGAATTCATTAAAATGCATATGTACAGTATGTACAATTATCTGAATCTTGCTGTAATGAATTTATAATTTATTAATAATAATTTTATTAAACTGAACAGTGCTGAATTGAAAGAAGCTACCATATATTCAAATTCAAAGTTGACTCGTCTATACACTTGCATAGCATGCTGAGATAAAGTTTGGTGGTCTTTGATGCAGATAATCTGATTTAAACTGAATAAATCACAGGAGGAGACTCACAACCAGTCATATCTGGACAATTTTAGTTTGTCATAACTCAGCAACTAGAAGCAGTTTAAATGACTTGTTCATTTGTTACCCTCACAAAGGACTTACCCTCTGGCCGTATGAACTCTCTGAAGGTGGGCAAGGAAATGAAGGTGTGGGACACTGAGTGTGTTGGATCCAGAACACAAGCGATGTCATTGGGCTGACAGGACTTGACACAGCGGACAGTGTCAGAGCGCTGAAGCGTCGACGCTCTAAAATAGAAAATAAAACACAAACTCCAACAAAAACAGCAAGATTAAAAAAAGAAACAAGCACAAGGCTTTTGACCTTTAGGTACAACCTATTTGTAGTCCCCAGAGTCCATTACCTTTGCTTTCTAAAGCTCACAATTACAGGGGATTCTAAAGTTCAGCCCACTGCATAATCAAGAACTCAGTGGGGCTCCTCCAACGGCTGCTGCACAAACACTTTGCGGACAAAACAGCTGGATATAGCACTCAGCATCAGAAATAATCAAATTCTTTGTGGTTTGGAAGAATAATAAACTAAGAATGGCCGCAGCTCACGCCATAGCCAGACTTTAAAGCTTGTGGAGACACGCTCTCTGCTGTTGATGCTCTGCTGATGCCCTATTTCAAGATGTGTGGGAAATGAATTACTACACTCATGAAGAATGATCCACAACCTGCTCAAGAAAATATTTGGATTTGCAGCTTCACATCAGATAATCTCTTGAGGAGGATTTATGTGGCAAGAGAATGTTCTAAAAGACTCCTAAATTGTGAGCAACATGACTAGACAACTCCCCATCGACTCCCCGGGGCACCTCTCATCCTATTATTTAGGGCTTTGTTTATTCCACAGACTAATCAGTGACAGGTCTGAGACACTGGAGGGCCTTTACTGGCTCTTAAAACCAACGCCACCTGGAGTATCACTTTTCACTTCCTGTCTGCCACATATGAGACTCTGAGTGAGGTTTTCAAGGCATTAACAACCTCATAAATCAGTGGTTTGTCTTTAAAACAATGAAGGGCTTTTTAAAAGAAACAAAAGCCATAATTATAAAAATCAACATGTTAAACTCATGCACAGGCTTCATCTGAGGAAGACAAGTCAATACGTGGTTATATTGGGTTACAAAAACATGCAAGCTGCCATGTATAGGTCAATTTAATGTGTGGGGGCAACCTTGTAGCCACATGTGAGTCACGGGCTATGGATCTCTGGTGGTCCTCAGGGGAACCATCTCCGCTGCAGCTCAAAAGCCCTGACTTGGCTGAGATTGCAGGGCTCCCTTCATGGACAGCGGGGAGAGAAGCCCCTGACAAACAGTCAAGCCACCACTATAGGGGCTTGTAATTAGCAATTAGCGGGTGGGTCCAAGTTTTGCTTTGGCCCAGTCCAAACCCACAAAATGTTCTCCAAGTTTATAATACCACTGCCTGAGGAGCAGACAGACCCGAGCGGGACTCTAGAGGACGAGGTGAGAGCTGCTGGGGGTGGAGTGGATGAATTTATGAGAACGTACATGCAGATGGGCACTTCAAAGCAGGGTCAAACCTGCGTGTTAAACGTCTGCTTGTGCACAGAGTTGTTTGTACACGCAGACATGTTTCTGAACGCTTCATGTTCTGTATGCCTCTCCCTGTCTCATGTGGCCCAGCCCAGGAGAAAAACCCCAATACTTTCAGAGCAGAAAGAAAAACATACTTTTTGGGATGAAAAGTGCTCTGGTCAAGCTTAGGGCTTTCTATTTTCTTTTTTCTTCTTCTTCTTCTTTGGTAAATTATTATTTATAGCCAGCACATTGATAACGCCCCAACACAAACACTGCAGGGCATCATTCATTTTGTGCGCGGTGATGTTGCTTTACCACAAATTGTTCAGACCACCGTCCAGAGCCCAGAGCCCCATAACTCAATGTCAATGGGGAGGGGGAAAAAAACTCCTGTGCACCACTGTGCTCTTTATTTTAAGGATATCCCCTTTAGGAACCAAGTGCATCCTCTCTGGCCTGACAGCTCAGGACAGGAGGAACCCAGGACATCTGAATTTACAGTTATTAAAAGCCGCAGCCTTCGGGCAGCAGCCTCACAGCATGTCCAACTATTTATACTCTCCCCGGCTGGTGCACATCACCCCCCCTCCCCTACCCTCCTTTGCCACTGCATCCCATCGCGTGTCACTTACTCGGCCTTCATTTGGATTATCTGTCTGCTTTGTGGTTTGCACCCACATTATGCAGTGGAAATCTGTGCGTTTCACATTAGGCTCAAAAAGTAATGGAAGCTTTAAGAGCCGTGCATGAAAATAACTGAAAGATGTAAATGTGGGGCACGCTAACTGACGTTTGGGAAGTGGGAGAAGCAATACATTTGGGCCAAACTGGTTTATGACTGCAATTTGGGGGTATAGAATTACTTAGACTTTCACCATTTATTAAGTCAAAGTATCTGCAATGATAGTGCCTGTATTTAATATTAGTGTTTAAAAGAAGTTAAAGAAAATGTGATTTTTACTGAGTTTGAAAACTTTTCCGATTTAAGTAGTTTTAAATTATCAGAGAAGTCGTGATTATAACTCAAAGTTGTAGTCTAATGTCTAAAGTCTAATGTACATTTAAGTATTACAAGATCATAAATATTTTGCATCAGTTGAACATTTTTTTATGTCAGATCACAGTAAAAGTTCAGCCATGTGCAGCACTGGAGAATTTGCATGCACAGCTGCATTTCCTCTTTGCCGAAAGTGTCGGACTACAAGTAACACAAAACTATACAAGGGAAATCTTCATGCCTACAATGTGACTTGGCCTCACATCCTAACTGCTCCCCTTGCTGCATTTGATTAAAAACCCCACAAAGCACTATTATCAAGAACTGGATTTGACTTGAACATGTGTTATTTCTATTTCAGTTTTAATAGAAAAGCGTTCATCCAGCACAAAAACCATAAAACACGGCAAAAATGTCAGACTTTATCATGCAACCATCATCAAATTACACTTTCTTGTAGGCATACTTGGGCTGTTACCATTTGATGATTTACCCTAAGCTAGGACGCCACCTACAGTAGTGGCTTTGCCTTAACTCTAAAAGAAAGAACATCATTTTTTAGCTAATTTACACTGCACCATAATGGTGCTAAAATGTAATAGTAAAACACTTATTTTAATAAGTACAGATTTAATGCTTCTTTATTTTGATTTTGTGAGTTTAGTGGACTTTTTCATATAGAACCAGAAAAAATGATGTGATTCTGAAAATGCATTTTCTTGTGGTAGGTGGTCAGTTTACAGCTGTGCTCAAAATATTTACTGATTTTACGTAAAGCTGACATTATGTTCACTTTATACAGAACTAAAGGATTCAAGTTAATTAAATGTTTCATTTGGAACATGATTGCATGGGTTATTTTATAATAATGCACTTTTTATCACGTGTAGTAAATGAATTCAGTCTGGATACTCCAGCTGCATACTAAATCTGAGAGGACAGCACGATATTGCAGTTTTTGGCTGAGAGCACATAATTAACACTATTGCTTTATAACACTGATGAAAAATTTTACGACACAAATCTGTGTCTATGGACAATGGCTGGGACCATATCCCAACCTTAGACTAAATTATAACCTGTGAAAATAACTGTTTTGATGTTGTAATATGGAATTAATTCAAAAGGATCACAACAACTTTATCTTTAATATTATTACAGTCAAAACTTGACAACTGTATATGGTTTCATTATGCAGTTATCTAATAATTTCTTCAACAGATAGTAGATATGGGGTAGTGTTCTGTGAAAACCTTTTGAACAGTTAATATTTTAATTGTTGTAGATAACTTTAGCTCTTTGAACAACTAGTTTGGGGAAACAATTTTGACCGGACTGACAGGCTAATGGCTAGTGATAGAAAGACCAAGACTACAATAGAGAGCTGCCGGTGATGTGCAGTCAAGGCAGGGCTTCCTCTGCTGTCATGGAAAAAGAAGGCCAATAATGTAACATTAAATTGATGTATTTATCCAGTTTTTTTACTATAAACTAATTTTTCATTTCAGTTAAACAATTTTTAATATTATTTTCTATAAAATCACTAAATTTTCTTATTTACTGTTCAAATACCAGGCTGAGACAAAACCTGAGGTTGCAGCAAACTCTGTCTCAACTTACATTGGGCAATCCCATACAAACTGTTGCATAGCCTATCAATCAGAGAGGGACTGCTGCTGGGTCTTTGAATGTCACCTGTAAAATGTTTTAAAAAATTTTTTATACATGCTTGACTTTCCACAATTTGGCTCAAGTTTATAATATATTTAAATATTTATTTGTAGCATATAGTACATATCATGTTGTACAGAATGTCTATAAATTACACAGATTTTTCTCCATTTATGTATAGGGCGATCTAAGATTTATTCAAATCTCACAGACAGTTTAAAAAACTCAAGGTTAAATAACCATCTTCCAACCCACTTTGCCACCCGATTCTGTCTTTCTACGTAAATTACGGCGTCCACGAGGGGACATGGGGGGATTTTTTTCTTTTGCGTTCCCACACAATACCTATGCGTTCCCTCGCAACACTTTTGCGTTACCTCGCAATATTGTTTTGCGTTCCCACGCAAAAGTTTTGTATACAAACTGAATTAAATTAGACTTTCATTTTGAAATATCCGGTTACCAAAACAGGATGTGTCGCCACAAGTTTGTGAAATTGACGTTGATGTTGCGTGCCTGCACTGTGTTAAAATATCGGCATATGGCATACTTCCATGCATGGCTGTGTGAAATATTCATTCTAAAGCTGAATTAAAGCAGTAGGCTAACTCGCTAATGGTAAACGTGTGAGTTTGTTAATAAACCGGCAGGCACAACAGTGATAAATGACTTTTGCGAGGTAACACAATACTTTTGTGTGGGAACACAAAAAGAAAAAAAATCCCCCATGTCCCCTCGTGGGCTCAGTAGTAAATGACATCCGTGTTATAGTTTTTTTCTGAAAATTATGGAGTTTTGAGGGTCAAGATACAGGTAAATATCCGAAGGAGTTGGCATGATGTAACGTGTTCTGTGAGCTGAAACTGTGTGAAGAGACACAAGTTGAAGCTGGCACTTTTTGCGCCGCAGGCTTAGGGGGCACTCCTGAGCCCAGAGATTACTCTGAGCTGCAGAAGAAGTAACAGGAAGTTAGCTGCAATCTTACAGTTAGCAAGTCAGGTGCAATATTTTTGGTACCCATTTTGTGTTCAATTTAATAAAAAAAATAATAATAAAAAAGGTTCAGCAAATATTTTTTCTCTCTCTCTCTTGTCAAACTTGACATTTAGAATGGAGGATTATAAAACAAAGCTCAAACTATTTTCTAAACTGGACTTTTGGTGCATCAGCAGGCTTTGTGGTTGTCCTGAGAGAACTTTTTTTGGCTTTCTCTTCCTTTTTTCTACTCAGATGGGATGTTTGTGACCGGTGCATAGACTTTATTTATAAGTAAAGGAAGGACATAATAACAGCTTTGTTTTAATGAAATGTGCATCAAGTGAGCAATGGTTTGTGTGAAGAATATTGATATGAGATATGAAACATAACTTATTAACATCTGCCAAACAAATGGTAAATAATTTATTCTGTAGGACCTTATATATTTGTAAATCTGATGAGTCCCCCACCATGAACCTCACTGCACATCACTGATAGCTGCCTTACTAAAATGATACTTGTTTTCAAAACTTTACATCAGTTTATGCACATGCTATTTCAGAAACTTTTCTATCACTGTCAGTTTTGCATTACATTAAATTAATTAGCGAGCGCTAGCAGCAGTAGCTAGTTGTATGTAGACGTTATGGGCCCTTCCAGTGAGAGCATCATATTTTTTGTGGAATAAGCATGTAATGCAAAACTGACAGTGATGTGAATATTTTAGCTTCTGAATAAATGATTATGAAATGTGCGAAACTGGAGTAGACAGCAAGCAACCAATATGGTTTTGGTCTTGTTTAGACTAGCTGTTAGCTCATTAGACCAATCAGAATTTTAGTCTTTTTCTTCAAACTGAGGACATTCAAAGAGCGATGTACATAACAGGCAAGACATTAATTATCATGAACTTTTCACAGAACTACAATCCAAAAGGTTTAACTATTCCTTAAATCAGGGGTGTCAAACTCCTGTCCTCGAGGGCCGCTATCCTGCATGTTTTAGAGGTTTTCTTGCTCCAACACACCAGATTTTGATCGCTGGGTAATTAACAGGCTTCTGCCCAATTTGAAGAGTTAATTCAATCACTGAATCAGGTGTGTTGGAGCTGGAAAACCTCTAAAACATGCAGGATAGCGGCCCTCGAGGACTGGAGTTTGACACCCCTGCTCTAAAACATGCAGGATAGCGGCCCTCGAGGACTGGAGTTTGACACCCCTGCCTTAAATCTAGCAGTTTATATAGAGGGGGAGACATATCCAGTACAGTAATGATGATCATTGTGCCTGTGTATTTTTCAACAACTCTAAAAATTACAATAATTAGCTGGAGACATTAATGTAAACATGTGCTATCAGTTCAGGGTGATGGTCATTTTTTAATCAGTGCTGTGTACAAAATTTACTTTCACTGTACCATATGATACATTTCTAACACCCTGTGGAGTGAATGAAAAGTTACAGTTCAAAGTTTGAGCACTACTCCAAAATATTGAATGGATGAATGAATGAGTGGATTTTGAAACACAGCGCAGACTAGAATCAATGGCTGAATTTAAAGTAATAAACTCACTAAATATATATAGAAATCACATAATTACATACCTATTAGGAAGGTCTACGATTACAAGTCTACAGTTATACTGTATAGTACTGGTTATTTTGTAATGATTTACCAGATTTCTTTTTCTCCACAAGAATGTGCATTTGGTATGACACATTTTAACAGTAAAGCAACATCCTAACAAATTCCTCTGTTTATTCTAGTAGGGCATTATAGGGTACTCTGGGCTCGTCCTGGGTAACAAACACCAGCACTTTAGCCAGGTATGTGGTCACTGAGCCATAGCGACGCAAACTCATTTCCACGGACAGACTAAAGTCCTGCGCCTTGTCTATGACCTTAGCCACCGACATAACGCCACCATTGGGCGTTCGCTCCGTCTTGAAGAAACCGCCTTCGTTGCCGGCTGTGATGGTGATCTGGATGTCGTCGCCAGGGACAATGTGGTTGGGGCCCATGCGGAAGATGACGGTGAAGACGGGGATGTTGGCAGGGATTGTGAGGTAGTGGTAAGTTATTCTCAGGGGCATGGTCAGGCACTCGGGTTCATTGCAAAGCAAACGTTCACATCGACTGCAAAAAAGCAAAACAAAGAAGAAGAGTGGAAGAAAACAGAAGATGGACAGAAAGAAAGAGAGAAGGAATGTAAGTTTCACTGGCCGTGCATGGCATGCAGAGAAAGAAACACGATGTTTGTTATGGTGCCATCTGTGGGAGCATGCAAAAAGTTCTGATACTGATGCCTCCATACAAGGGTGAATGTACAGTTTCAGTTAAAAATTTGAAATAACTGTGTGCATGTTATTATTCTAACACAAGAGAACATGCTCCAGCCAAATCTGACCTGAAATCACAAGGAGCAAGGAGCAGCTTGAACATGCAGGGCATCGACTGAAACATTTGATTATTGATGGATTTAAAGACGTCTAAAAGTTTTAAATGGAAACCGGATATCTTTCATTTTGATCTGTGAGATGCATCAGACCTTTTATAATACTTAAAGGGATAGTTTACACCTTTTTAAATGTTGTTCTGTGAAAATATTTTAACAATAACATTTTAACTGTCGTACATCGACACTAGAATGACCTCAGTTGGGAGAAAAAAAATTAATCTTGACTAGACTTTCGAACTGATGGCTATTCAGAGCAGGACTTACACCCTAACAGCTTGCTGTCACCTTATAACCAGTTCAGACTCAAAAATTACAAGATGGTTCATGCAAACACTAGTTACTCTACAACTTCATCAATTTCGCATTTGATTTTATGGCAGAAGTATATAATGATCTTCCTGCCAGAAGTGCTAGAGCTAGCTGCCACTGCCACTATTTGTACTTGTAAATAACCATCAAAATCTGTGTAAATTCACTTCAATCCTAGCTGTGCACAGATTATTTGCTCATCAGTTTTGTCAGAGCTAATCTGTTTCTCCAACCTGAGATCAATAAAAGATTTGTTTACAACAGGTAAGATGTTAGTTGTTCATAACATTTACACTAAACCAGGGGTCCTTAACCTTTTTGACCTCGGGGCCCAATTTGTTGAACATAAAGTGACACGAGGCCCAGTCAGACATTACCAGTGTATGGATCAAAATGATCATTATTTTAAATTTTGGTTTAATTTTTATTGTATTTACATCATAACTAAACTATCATAACTAACATTACTAAATTAAATACACTTACAGTTTAAAAGTAAAACTCCTGTCAAATATTCACAAGACATGATTATAACAACCATTTTTATATTGTAACCTGCCCATAACAATTATTTGAACAAATACAAAGGTCAGTCAACAGACCACTCAGGCTTATGAACACAAATACTGTATATATATATATATATATATGTATATATATATATATATGAAAATGTTTCAAATTTAAAAAATGATAAAAATAAATTTGATAAAGTACAAATGAAGATATTGCCTTTTAAAACTTTTGCAACCAGAAGCTGCTCTTCATATTAGTGACAAACAATAACAGTAACAACAGCTTTTTGACAAGTTTAAAAATTATTTAAAATACAAAGTGCAAATGAAAATATAGCTGTATCTACAACTGTATTTGATAATGTTTTGAACTTTTAAAATATTGCCTCGTAAAAACAGAAGCTGCACTTCATATTTGTGACAAACTTTGATGTTTTTTGATGTGTTACTTTCATTTTTGCTTCTATTTTTGATTTAAAATAGGTTTCCTTTCTCGGCAGGTTTCTAAGGTTCTTCTTCTACATATTAAAAAAGTTGTTAAACATCTAACTTGCGCACTACCCCTACTAGTGGTGAGAAAGTGTATTGCACCTTATTCAAAATGAATGCGGTCCCACGGCCCTCTGAGGCCCAAAGTTAAAAGCTGTTGTTCTTTTGGAGGCCCTCAAGGCGGCGCTCGCTTCCCACAACTGGGCCGCGGCCCATGGGTTAAGAATCTCTGCACTAAACCCCACTTCAAAAGATCTGCACTGTAGCTTTAAGTCTGTAAACTCAGGTAAACTGTAATCACAGGTACTGGATACTCACGTCTGTCCAAATTGTCTGTAGTTTTTGGGACATTCGAAAGACAAACATCTGTGTCCTCCCTGTATGTTGAAGCAGCTCTCATTTTCTGCACACGTGTGTCGTCCCGTGACACATTCATCAACATCTGCAAAGAGTAGAAGGGCCTTCCAAAATATTTGCAATATAACCTGTACACAGTGTGTTAGTCAGTTGTGAAATAAATAAATGTGGCATCACATTAAGGCAGCTAACCTTGGCAACTGCGCCCGTTGACTGCCAAAGTGTAGGTGTTGATGGGACAGGAGCAGTGGAAGCTGCCTGGGGTGTTGTGACAACGATAGGAACAAATATGGCCTCCCGTGGGCAGGGCACACTCATCTATATCTGAAAATATGAGGAAAACACATGAGGACAAGTTAAACCAAAGGGGAAAAATGTTCACGTATTATTCTTGTTAAAATAAGTTGTTTTTACCTTCGCACGTCATGCCATCAATATCGCTGAGCTGGTAGCCACGGCGGCAGTAACACTGGTAGGAGCCGTACACGTTGGCACACTCCTGGCTACATGGGTTGCTCTCACACTCATTCAGATCTACACAGATAAAATATGATGGTGGACCACTGCACGCTTTATCCCACTCATGTTTACTCATTAACGCAACCATAAGTAAACATTCAAGCATAAATCGTAAAGGAAAGTTGAGTAGGTCCTCAGAACGGGTCCTTCTTTGTTGAAAATGTTTTGTCCCTTTAAGAGAGACTTCTTTAGTCTTAGGAGTCACAGGTAAACTCTTCCATATGTTGGCTAACCCCAATGACAATCAAAACTTTTTGTTCACATGCAAAAGAGGACCCTCAGCCTAACGACCAACCATTAGTGCTCTGATTATCACTATTGTTCACAGGGGGCTGAGTCATACTCGCAATAACAGCATTGTAAGAGGGGGACAATTGCCTGTTTGCCACGGTCATTAATGATGTATTTCTGGTAAAATTCTTGCCACGCACATCCCTTCCACCTCCTGCTTACTGCCTTTGTTTTCAGCATAAGCTCCCAGTACTAGTCCGTGAAAAAGTTACAAAAGTTAAATCATCTGTGAGCTACTGATGTAAAACATGAGTTCTGTTGTGTGTTGTTGTGTCCACTAAGCAGCAGGTAAGATCGAGTAGTTAGTTTTTATCCTTTTTCCTCTTGATGAGGAGGTGACAGCAGTGGATCATAGCATTACAGGGAAAACTTATCTTTAAAAGCTCACGCTTGTGTTTGTAATCAGCATTTCTAACCTGAGGATATTCAAGAGTCAGCATCAGAAATGAGAAGACGGAGGTTACAAAAGGGAAATGTACAATTATCCCCTTTTACTGCCAAGACCAGAGAGGAAAGACCTCCTCACAGCTAGCAGGAAGCTAACACAGCAGCCGCTACAAAGGTAGATGTGTGCGAGTGTGCGCGCGTGTTTGTGTTATACAGAGTATGAAATGTTTTTAGACAACTTTGTCATGAGTTTTGTGCAAAAGTAAAACCTTGTTAGAGTGTATATTACACCGTAAACAAAACACGAGAAACGACACCCCCCCCCCCACCCCCCGAGCACAGAGAGCCGCAGAACCACCGCCTGATAATCATTATGTTTTCAGTTCACTAACGTCGGGGAAAACGATCCAAACCATACAAGTAGCCCATCAGTTTAAAGCCCAGACTCTGCTCTTTCCAACAATATAAGTGTCACAGCTCTACGTGAAAAATTCACAGAACAAGCAGCCACGGAATATCGAAAAAGGCTAAATTCTGGAAACATAAACGCAAACGTCTTTCCTTTGTTTTTATGGCTTTAATCCACTTTGGAGTGATTTTTTTCCACTTGTCTGGACCTGTACGTCTCCTGTGTTAATGTTGGTACATGTAATATGATAAGTCTGTGCTGTGGAGATCATTAAGAGTCGTTGTCAGGTGAAAAAATCTTTTGCTAACACTGTGTTGACTGTGAACCGGAAGTGGTTGGGGTGGCCCAGAGTGCTGGACCATATGTCCGTGGCATATAGGCTATTGGACCTGGAGGCTTCCACCCCTGTTTAACAATGGGTGTTTTCTCTTCACAAAAATGTCTTCCTTTACTTCTCTCTCAAACTAATGTTCCTCTCTATCAAGTATGAGAACATCTTCATCCCTGAAAGAGTCATGGATGAATGTAAACTGCAGAGTCCTGGCCTAATTATGTTGCTTTTCTGTGCTGAGACATTCTTTTGAACAGTGGCTGCTCTGTTTCCCCATCTGGGATTGTCACAGTTAAACTTGTTTGTCCAACATGTGAAAGCATTGCTTATAAAGCTGAGTTTACTTGAAACTCCTCAGACTGAAGAAGTCTCTTGGAGAAGAGATGAAACATTTTCAACAAAAAAGAACCTGTCTAGAGGAACTACTCAACTTTTTAAAAAAAAATTTACTTGGATAATTGAGATGCATCAGGACAAATAAATATGAACCCATATGTTGTCAGTTTAGGGACAAGACTTTGTACAAAAAGAAAAACACTAAAGGCAAGATGGAAATGTATTCAGGACTTAAATTCCCTTGACTCACTGATCAAACCCAAAACAACTTAACTGTTTTCTTCCTGTATAAGTCACTCAATCTATTATTTGTGGTATGCATTAAATTTTCTCACCATCGCAATTTCTGCCATCACTGGCCAGCTTGAAGCCTGTGGTGCAGCTACATTTGTAGGACCCCGGGGTGTTGTCACACTTATGAGCACACAGGCGGCCAGGGTAGTGCCTGCATTCATTTATATCTAAAAATTCAATGAAAGAGATAAGGAAGAAAATACGCTGAAACTATGGCCTAAGTTTCAGATTTTGACATAGAATATTAGTCAAAATGTCTGCTGTACATGGTTCAGAGAACAATTGGGTTTAGTTAGCTTACCTTCACAAGTACGAGTGATGCTGTTGAAGTTGTATCCAGTTTCACACTCACAACGGTAGGATCCAAGCTGGTTGATGCAAGCATGACCTGCACAGACTTCCTGAGTGCCTTTACACTCATCGATATCTGCAGGGGAAGGACACAAACTACTCACAGCGCCACTACATCCACCTCAGTTAGGCTATTAAGATATGAGGTTTGCAGATACGATGAGGATGAGTGATTCTGTTGTACCAATACAGCGTGTGCCGTCATCGTTGAGGTGGTATCCTCGACCACAGTTAACGGAGTTTCGCTGACAGGTAAATGAGCCCAAAGTGTTAATGCAGATATGCCCTCGGTGGCATGGGCTTGTCTGAGTGACACACTCATTGATATCTGAAAACACAAGATGTTATAATTACACAGCATGATTCAAAACCTGATGAGCTTCTTTTAATTTATATAAAAGGGCCTTGGTGAAGACTTGTGCCCTTTTCGTCATACTCTGTGTCACCACTCATATGGTATGTAACTTTAACTCTACCTTGGGGGGGTAAAATTGTACCAGAGAACTCCTTGTCTATGGGAGAAATCCCAGATGGAGTAGAGAGGGAAACTAGAATTGAGTGGAACTGTGTAGGAAGGCAAAGACCAGGCTAACGTTTGTCCAAAAAAAACAAACTGCAAGATTATTAAGAGTTTTGATATTTTATAAAAATCTACAAAAACATGCAAAAGACATGGTAGTAAAAGATGAAAAATCAGGCCAGTACCAAAGCATTGAGCAACCATTGTCTGTATAGGACCTTTATCATCTTTATGACTGTTATTATGTTGCTTCCAGCACATAAAAATGCTTAATCTCATATTTTTTTACTGGTTTCTTCAATTGGAAGGTGCAGCAAAAATAATGATGCATGGATACTTTTCCAAGGTGATACAGATCTTACCAATACAGTTTCCAAGTGCGTCCTGGATGAAACCAGCGGCACACTTAATCTTTGGAAGACAACGGAATGAGCCCTGGGTGTTTTGGCACTCAAACTGTGGGCCACAGTTGTGGATGCCCGTCTCACACTCATCGATATCTGCATGAAATCATAGCAAAGATGTCACAAGCACACTGCATATGATTACCAACAAAGATGAAATCTACCAATCTGGGTTTAATGGGCCTCATGCAAGAAGCGTTCGTACGCACAGATTTGTTCTTAAGTTGTGCGTACGAGTGATTTAGGAGAATTTGTGGCATTCACCAATGTTT